TGTCAGCAAGTGAGCACCACAATGTAAACAAATATACAAAGCTATTGTATTGAGAAATCCCATTGACTCCTGGTCATGAGTGCTCTGAATTCGCGGCTGCAGGGAGAGGGATGTCAGCAAGGATCAATAGATTGAATGGTAGCCTGCAGCAGTTTCAATACAATGGGTAGTTTAGATGGGATAGACAATGTTTGGGGGTTTCATCCGCCACTTAATGTGTGATTTTTAAAATAGATCTTTCAAGTTTCCTTAGCTGGCTCTTCTGTAAATTGAGACTTACACAGATGGACTTACTCTTATTTTTCAAGTTCTTTTAAAATCTTTAGAAGATTAGAGATAATGAGTGGACCAATAATGCAAACCCCCTCCCCCCCGAATGTAAGAGACATGTGTGTGGTTGCATTTTAGGGAGCATGTTCACCATTGCCTTAATTGAAATAATGCTTATGGTGTTGATACATGATGTCCTGGAAAGAAAACATTTCCAGCAAGAATGCAAGTTTTTTTTTCAAAAGATGTAAAAAAACTATTCAGTAAAAAAACAAAACCAAAGTTGTTTGGAAGGGCTTTTCTTAATATCCAATTTCAGTGATGAATATAAAGATGAGAGCAACAGGAGCTCTGGAAACAAGGAACAGACAGCATGTGCTTGTGTGAGAGCTCAGAGAGGAAGAAACCCAGAGTGGATGGTAAGGAATCTCCTGTAGTGATCTGTAGCACCTGTGCTGTCTTGGCTTCCTTGCCTGAGGAAGTGGAGCACCTGTGCAGAAGAGATGTTGCATGAATAATTTAGCATGTTCCATACTAAAACATTGGTTCAGTAATCCTAGGAGCCCCCCTACTAGACAGAAGCCGACTGAACTGGAATGTTGTTAGCTGAACTGCTGATTGATCCCAAAGTTTATCACTTACATGTTGTGTAGAGAAGAGGCAGAGTAAGGGATGTCATGTTTTCTTGACCCAGTTCATAGCCTCTGAACAGGCAAAAAGTTAGGCCCAGCGTAGGGTAGGGATTTAATCCTTTATTAATTCCCTTCTTAAAGAAAGCAGCAATTCTTTTTCTGCTGTGGGAAAGTCTTCACAATCTTTGAAGATTGCTTATAATTCAAGACTCATTCTGTGCAAAATTTATGTATAGTTGATTTGTAAAGAAAACAGTATTTTTCTATCTATACATATATTTCTGTGCTGTTAGTATTCCTTTTGCTACAGTTTCTTGACTAAGATTGATTTAAAAATTTTGATCAAACTTTTAGAAATATTTTCAAATATTATTTCCATCCTTAGCCTGGGATAGTACTAAGTAATTTCCAACATTCCTGAGCTGGAAAGGATTCAGTTTCAATACAGCTTCAGTTGGCCTAATGTCAGTTTAGTTATCCCTTGGCCATAATGTAGAGTTGGGATGGCACTGGAACAAAGACTGTTACAATTACACCACATCTGTACTTTCATTCTTCCCTATGAGTGTATATGATAGTAGGCTTTTTTCAGTTTCTGTATAGGAGCATATTCTGCATTTGTATATGAGGCATTTTCAACTCATTTCTATAAAACTATAGCCTTATAGCAGGAAGAGGTAACTCAAGTTTGCACATTTTTAAAATACATTTGTCAGTGAAAAAATGAGAAACTTCTAAGTTTAGTAAAAATAAAAAGCCATGTATGTATTTCAGCCTTCAATGTAAAAGATCAGTTAGACTATTCACAGTGCATTTATATTCTGTGTCTTCATTTGGAGAAAGTCCTTGAAATCCTTATGACCCCTAGTTTTCAAACTAAAATGCAGACAGACAAGGATAGTCTGAAGGAGAACTTCTGTTATGAGGAGTCTTTTAGAATGCTGCATCTACACGGCTTTCTTTCTTTCGACAACCGAAACGGAATACCCTGGAATAAAAATACTTGACAACTTCCTTGTAACCACATTCATTTGGAAGTATGTCCAATCGATGTTAATGGGCTTAGCTTTACCTGCATTATCTTCTAGTTTTATATATAAACGTTATCATTCAGTTACCATTTAATATCTCTGCAATAAGAAACATAAGCTTTTGAATCTTACTTTTGGCAAGATTTCAAGATATAATGTTACTCTAGTCAGTTAGAAGTCTAGCATCTGAACTCATCTATTCATAATTCATGCAACATTCTCCAAGTATGCTGGGTCCCCACAGGTTGAGTATCTCATATCCAAAATGCCTGAGAGCAGAAGTGTTTTGGATGTCAGATTTTTTTTTTTTGGTTTGGATACCTGTATTTGCCTATACATACAAAATGAGATATCTTGAAGACAGATCCAAGTCTAAACACAAAATTCATTTATGTTTCATATACACCTTATACACATAGTTTCTTTTACATGGTCTTGTGAATCATACCACTGGGTTCTATGGCACCTGCACCGGCCCCAATGGATATTTACTAGGGCTGGGCGGTTTCGTTTCGTTAATTCGTAATTCGTTAATAATTCGTTAATTTTTTTAATTACAAAACGATAACGAACCATTCTGGAGCAATTTTTTTAAAAAACGAATTTTTAAATAGTTTTGTAAATGCTTCGTATTTCGTTATGTATTCGTTTCGTTATTGTTTTGAGGTCGTTTCGTTATTATTTCCGCATGTCTGGGGCAAGTTTTATGGTTGTTTTTTGTTTAATTAGTGAAAAAAAATTATAATATCACACCAACAGTCAACAACAGAGGGAGAGGGAAGCTTCAGAAGTTTTTGGAGGTTTTTTAGCGTATTTCGCGGTCGCGTCCGCCATTAACGAATTGATTCGTTATTGTTTCGGAAATCGATTCGTTAATGTTTTGTATTTTTTTTCACATTTACGAAATTTCGTAAATATCGAACTTTTTAAAAGGAAAATTTTGTAATTATTTTAAATAACGAAACGCAAAAACCCCCAAAAAACGAATCGATTTTAGAAACAAATTTTTCCGTTGTTACCCAGGCCTAATATTTACAAAGCCTCTAGCATTCAAATTTTGGTGGTAATCCTGCCCCCTTTCCCCCCGGGCATAAAGATGCCCACTCTCCAGCAGACTCTTTCATCCACCACTGCAGTTAGTAGCTCTTAGAACTCTTTGCTTTTGTTTTCTAACGTGTGCTTTAGCTAAACCCTTCTTGTGTATGACCCCAGAAAGTCTTGATGTCACATCTTCTCAGCCCTTCATCATGTCGATGACCAGATTCAAGTGTTGTACTTAGTGCAACAGCAAAATGCCAGATTTGGATGGACACTCCTCTTTTGCCTGGGAGAAGGTCATATCATAGGGTCTTGCTCCCATTATCCCATATTATAGGTCATATTATAGGGTCTTGCTCCCATATTATAGGGTCTTGCTCCCATGGCACAGATAAGAAAAAATAGAGGCTTGTCTTTGCTCGACACTATTAGTCAGAATTGTCCCTGTCGCAGGTGGTAACTTCCTCAAAATCCAAATTTAAGTCTGGCTCTTTGATGTGGAGAACTACACCTTTGATCTCTCTGGCTGCCCCCTCAACTATTTTGGCTTTGACCCTGTTACCATCAACCTCTGGAGCCTCTCCATCGACATTGTCGATGTACATAGCTTTGAAAATATCAATGAAGGAAGCTACCAGGGCCCAATCTGAAAAAACGCTGTCAAGATGCTCCCAATTTACTATTCTTCCCACTCCAGTAAAGGGGCACGAGGCATAGCTCCGCAAAAAGAAAAAAAGACGCAGAGAGAAGAAAGAAAGATCCATCCCCACCTCTTTTCTCCTCGGATGACAACTTAAGACCTCCACCGTCAGTTGTGTTGTCCTGAGCCTTAAAGGTGTTGAAGGCTTCCTCAGCAACTTGCATGCCATAGCCTTCTTTGCAGCCTCAGCAGTTCTCTGAGGGAGGTTCAAGATTCTCCCCACCATTCCATCCAGATGGTCATGACCGAGACTCCAGTCTCATCATGCCACCAACTGTTCCTGAGCAGAGCAGAAGTCAGCCCTCCCACAGTGATTGACTCACCACATAAGGACTGTCAAACAAAATGCCTCGTCCAGGCAGCCCAGCATGCTTCACACCTGCTCCTCAGAGACAGCAATCCCCTCCACAAGGGACCAGGTTGTTGGCTCCAATACAACGTACAGATTCTGCACCCCCAACCAGAGCCTTGCCCCAATCTTCTGAGGGCTTACAAATATCTGATCATAATCAAGCCTCAGTGCCTCATCACAAATCAAAAGCTGAGTCTGTCAGCTCCTAGTGTTCCATGGGGATAGACATTTCACCAGAGATAAATGTTTCTGCCATTGATCCCCCTTCATTTACAGAGAACACTAAACATTTCCTCGAGAAACAACCAAAGCTTAAAAATGATACTCTGTCCATGAAACATTTAAATGATCAGCAACAGAAAATAAAATAACACAAACAACAATACAATCACAACACACAGAAATTCACCAAATGCAGACTGAAATGATCAAGTCTTTAAAACTACCCAAAAGGAAAGGGGCATATCATAAACATAATTATGCCATACTTAGTGCAGTCACCCTATCAGTATAACCCACCACAGTCCAAATCTCCTTAGTGACTGAGGTACTGATTGCAACTTCTGTTTCTATGGTATATTACATGTGTGTGTGTAAGGCTGCTGGTACAGAAAGTCACAAGTCTTGCCTGAACTGAACTGTGCTAGCCTTGCCTCACCTGCCCTTCGTTTGCTATTTGACACTCCTTTCCTCGCTTTTCTTTGTTGGTTTCCGACCTTTCCCCCAGTCGTATCTGTTAAGGGCAATCCCTCTGGGCAGAAGACTACAGTCTTCCTGTTCTACTGGAACACTGTCCATGCTAAAGAGCTATTGGGAAATAGAATATGTTGAATCACATACCCCAGAGACTCTGAGCTCTCTGATATTTCCAGAAAGGTAATACTGAACTGACCCTATTTTTATCAGTTGCATTTGCTTATGAACCTCTTACAAGCAACCTTTTTGTTGCAGCTAAAGTAACATTCCTACTTTTGCAGGAGGAGAAGATGTAATGAATTCTGCCCACAAATATTCCTGTTAGAATGTGGAATGCAGGACTGTGCTGAGCATGCATGAGATTAAAACTGGAAGCATCCTTGCTTGGCACCATTATGTCAATAGCATAGAAGTCAAGTGCAAAAGTGAGTATGCTTGGAATAGATTTCTGAAGGAAGTGACTCGTGTCCTCTCAGTGTTGATCACTAATATATCAAAGTCTAGTTTTAAGTAATACATTCACTGATTCTCTACGCCCTCTCAGCTTTATTTTTTACTTTTATTGCATACCAACCTTGTACTTCCAACACAAACTGCCTTGTGAAAAACTTGTGCAATAATGTTTCCTTTGCCTGAGAATTTGGCCAGCTTTTTGCGAAACTGAACAAGTCTCAAATATTGAATCTTATATTTATTTAACCAGCTTTTCTTTGTGAACTGTTCTGAATTGAACGTTAGTGAAACAAGTGTATACAGGCCAATGAGGCATAGTATTCCATTTGTTTTTACCAAAAACACACACAGTGCATTGAGTGAATGCCTACATTATGCAGCGTTTTGGTAAAGTTAAATGAAAAAAGGTGAAAGGTGTGTGATAAGGTCAGTAAGGCAGCAAACCTCCCCGTGTGCATTCAGTATTAGCTTTTCTAACTGGCAAGTGTAACTTGACTGCAAGTCATGAACTTAATTGAATTTGACCCAAAAAAGACACAGCTGAGCAATCTACAGGAATCAATATTTTCCTAGAAGTTTGCAGTTCCAAACTGTACAAGTTCTTGTACAGCTCATAAAAGTGTATGTATGCTAAACCAGTACAAGAGAGAATTTATCCATTTGAGAATTAAGAAGTGGACCAATGATATAAAAATGTACTTATTGGACAGCAAAATAATAGTGATAGAGACACTTGGTTGTTTCTAGTTGCAGCTGCTTATTGAAGCATTTGCAAAATATGGAAAAATGTGAGAATGTTAGTTCAGTAATGTTTCCAAGCCTGACTAGTGGAAAATATGACAGTGTTTCCATCAGCAGTTAAGAACAAGTTGGCTCTTTTATTTCTACAAGGGAGGTGGCATACAGTTTGCCCTACACAGGAAATTGTTAACGGCAACCTGCAAACAGCTGTACGATGAGTTCATGGAGGAGGGAGGAAACATGCAAAACTTTCCTATCTTGATGGGTTTTTTTAACATATTTGAGATATGTATTTATTGCACATAGTTCTGATGGAACTGAGATCTAGAACATGTGGCAGTCTTGAAATTGATAATACCTCTAAGAGAATAACAGCATCCACATTTTCAGCAGCAGCAACAATTTCTTAGACAATAGAAATAGTATATAATACATTCATTCTACCATATAAATCCTGCCTATCAGAATGAAGAAATTTAGACAAATGTAACCAATATATGATTGTGAAATGATCATTTAATGGCTTCAGTGTTTTATTTGGCTGTCTACTTCAGCTGATTCTTTAAGTCTGTTGTCATATAGCAATTGCAACATCTTGTGTATATACCATAGTATGATCCCCATATCCATGGAACCAACATTTTCACTTACCTCCATCCCCCCCCCCCCGCACCAAAAAAAGTCTAAGCATTTTCTAGGATCTCCAAATGCAATTTTGTGGTAGGCCATAGTATCACACAGGAGGACGTAGATATGCTAGAGGTGTTCTCTCTACTTATTTTCCAGGTTCTTCATGGTAATGCTATGCTTCCACCAGAAATCATTCATTTCAAAAGGGTTTGCTATTTGTGGTTTCATGGTTCTATGGTATTTCCAGAACCCTACCTCCTGTACATATGTGGTCACACTTTTAAATTTAAATTTTAAATATGTCATAGTAAATTGGTTTTTTGAAAAACTGGATTCACGACTGCTAATTAGTGAGAGAAACTTTAATCAAGGGGTAGAGAGTTTAGTCTTGTTTCAGCTACGAAGTAGTAGGAAGAAGGTATTCATACAATGTTTCCCAAATTTTCAGAATGTAGCTTTTGGCTTCTTTCCAACATTTTTTTTATCTTTCAGCCTTGCTCTTGACTTTCCCCATCCAGAAGTAGCCATCATTGTTCAGAAATCTTTATCCACAGCGATATACAAGAAACAGTGGCATATGATAAATATATTTTATATTTATTTTAACAGAGGTGTTACAGATTGGCCCACTTAGTGGCCAAGCTGTGCATAGGAATGTATGCATGAGTTCAATGCCTTTCTGGTCAAAGTCTTTAGTAGGGTCTTTTCCTTATATCTTTAAGATGTTAGTAATACTGCTTAGGCACATTGTAACTTCTGATGAAATCAGTATACAAGATGTGCTTCAGCTAAATATGTTGAATGTATCTCTAAAGAAAAGAAGAAAAAGGAATAGGAAACATTCAGTGAATTCAATGTTGAAAGAAGAGACAGAGTATCAGGATGTAGAATAGAAGATTTTATTTCTCAAATTAGCCAAATATTTCTTGGCTAACTGAAATTCTTATGTTCAGTTGTCAGACATGAGCTTTGGAGACACTTTTTGAAATTCCCACAGGTTACTATCCAAACTGTTTTGTAGGTCATACAAATATTTGCCAGCTAAAATATGTTGGGCTAATTTGAGAAATAACATCTTTTCTAACACATCCAAAGACTCAATCTCTTTTTCATATTGAATATTTATTTCTGGCCTTCCCTGAGATAATTTGAATTGTGTGATGAAGGCAGTGGCTTCTAGCTACTTGTTGTCTGTCTGCGAAGGAGTGTGTCTGCTTATGGCTTCATCTGCAGCCAGTTGCATGTGTGCAATTTTTACAACATGATTGGGGATTAGTTTACACAATAATCATTCCAATCAAAGTAAGTATGAATAATGAGGCTTTGTAAAATATATATTGCAAGCCAGAGTAATAAAGATCATGTAGAAATAGTTTGGGATGTGTTTCATTCATATTCCTACTAAATGATATACTTCACTGAAGTCCTTCAAGAGACTCTCCATCTCTGTTTTCTTTCTTTCTGTGGGGATGTTTAAATTATCCTGTTACATTAAACTTTGGAAGATAGATCTAGCTTAATTTTTTGAAACAAAACTTTGATGCATTGCTTTTTCACAAGTTTGCTAGTGAAAGCAAGACCAGACTGGATAAAAAGATGGGTACACTGGTGTGCGAATGCAATTGCTGCATTGAGTAAGTAGAGCAGGGTTTTTGAGAAGACAAAAGGAGATACTGGAGTTTTTGGTTTAAACTGAAAGAGGATTTACTCAACATTCTTGTTATACATTGTGGAATACAGTATAAAATAAAGGTCCCCGACCCAATGCGTTTACAAATCTAGAAATTGTATGGCTAAGAAAAGAAGAACTGAGCACAAATGCAGCTACCAGCCATTTGTTCTTATTACTACCATTTATTAATTATTTTAATAATCATATGTTCCTTGAAGGTTCAAGGGCATTTGTTGTAAAACTGAAACCAAGTGGTGCAGGTGAGTCTGCCCTTTCAGTCCAAAATAAGTAATTTCTTTTTCAAGTCATTTTAGAGAGAACTTCAGAACTAAAAGTTGTCAGTTGTGATGCTTCCAGGCATTTGAATATAATTTTGAGGTACAGTCTGATAACAGCATTAAATGCATGTTTGTGCATGGCTAAATTGCGTTCACTTGTGGAAACATGAGCACTATTAAATGATGAAACCAGAGCTTTGTTAATAATGCATTGTAATTATTGCATCAGTCAGGCAAATAGCTCATATTTCTGCTCTTTTAAACTGAGAATCTCCTTTTAGCTGACTTAGTTCAGTATATTTTTTTCGACATGTTGGGATTGCTATTTTAAAGAAAATGGGCCAGAGAAGCTTTCATGCTGTCATTTTCAAGGGCAATATGTTTTCACAATGTAAGTAGATCTGCATAGATTGGTGAATTGCACAGACAGGGAATGACCTACGTAATGAGCAGTTGAAGGAACACAATTTTAATAATAGAAGATACCTGATTGGCCCTGCCCTTTCATCAAACAATGGAGATGAACGTCACCCTCCAGAACAAACAGTGGCTGTGGCACACTGTCTCCCAGATATAAACATGCTGTTTTGTGTTTTAAAAAAGTGAAAATCTAATACACGATTGCATTGCAAATAACTTTCTTTTACCCAGGGCAGCTGGCAATACACACAAACATTTATTTCTGAGGGGGAGAGACCCTCCTTTCTTTTAGGGAGAGATGAAAGCTAAGTGATATATTGCATCTTGTACCTGTTGAAGATTCCAGCTTCAATTCCTGGTTATTTGTAGTTAAAAGGATGAGATGACAGTCCAGAGGACCAATATGCCTGGGACCTGGGAGAAATGCTTCCTGTCAGGGTAGATAACATTGGGCTAGACAAACCATAAGTGTGTGCTGGAGTTTCAAAAACAATTAATCAGAAACCCAGAGGATTTTCTAAATAGATAAAGGCAGTATCTATTAGGGTTGCAAATTCTAAGTTCAAGAAGGGTGCGGCTACTAAGCTCACTTAAAACAAACAAAGCATGGCTTGCTTTTCCATGTTACTAGGACACTCATAAAAATGCCAAAATTTTGCACTTTGAGAATTTTTTTGGGGGGGGGGAAGGGAGGATTTTGTTTAGACAAAATCCATTGTACAAAAATGATCATTTGTATAAATACAGGTTTTTGTACAAAATCTTTGTGGATTTTGCTCCAAGAAGTCATGCAGTGTAAGTAATCTTTTTTTAAAGTACAAACCCACAGTCCCATAAATTTGCCCAATAATTTGGAAAAATGTTCTGAATATGAGAAAGTCATGGATAAAGATTTAACAGTCTTACTGTTTTGGCCCCTTTTCTGTTACTCCAAGAGTTTGGTACATTGTCTGAGGATTATGCCATTATTATGGCTTCAACAACAAAAGAGGCCATTTTTGGTTATATAAGACTATTAAGATGTGCTGAAGATATAAACTGTCTATTTTATCATCTTACCCACTTTTGCAACACCATAATGATAACGACGACGACGACGATGATGATAACAGCAACTTTATTTCTACAGCTCCCTCTCAACCCAGAGGGACACAGGGTGGTTTACATAAATATAAAACGGCAAGCATTCAATGTCACAATAACATCACATAATATCAAAAAATAAGAAATA